CTCTCTCTCTCTCTCAAGCTTACTAAAACATATTTGAATTTTATATTTTAAGTTTTAGCTGAATAATAAATTATTTTTACAATGTTTTGTTATGATAACTAACAACAATTTAACAAAAATTGTTAATAATAAAAATACGCCTTAACTTCAAAAACCAAAAGTACGTTTTTGTTTAAACAAAATCTAATATTTTCAATATGCTATGGTGTTTGTCTCATATGATATAATAAATGTAATAAACAATAAAATAATTGCAAAAATAATTTAGAATAAAGCTTTTAAAATAGTCTTTTAAAATGATAAAAATAATTTTCCAGTTGCAAATAAAGTTGAAGCATTATATAAATATTGAATTAAAATTATTTATATAATTGTTAGACTAATCAAACAGAATATGTCCAACGATTATGCCTCACCAGCTCAACGCAAATATTCAGTTCCTGAGGGAGTTGTTTCAATACTTTCGTATGAACGTAACCCCCAACATGGTATTCAACCACTTACCGCTCGAGCTCAACAGTGGGTATTTGAAGCAAGTTTGTTTACCCAGCAGCAATTTAAACGAATAAGTGGCACTACCGAATTCACCGACTATTTCTGGCCATTTTGTACAGACCCCGATCGTTACGAAATTCTTATTAAATTGATACTAAACCTATTTGTATTAGACGATCACATGGAGACCCCGTACGGCGATATTGATCGCCGTATGCCAGAAGCGGAGACCATATTCGGCCAATTGTATCGCGTATACGATAAGCTATTACAACCAACTGACAGAGCGGATCAGCCCGAGTACGTGTCATTTCACGCGTGGAAACCTTATGTGTTGGGCGCGTACGCCATATACGACAAGGTGTTCACAGCTTATAATGATGTTCAGAAACATAGGTTTATAGACATATGGCGCTCGTGGACCGATGGTATGGTTGGGGAGTGCGCCCATTTGCAGCACAACAAACAGTTTGATAACCTTGATGAATTTTTCGAGGTAAATTAAATTGATTTTTCAATAAATTCATTTATGAAGAATGTGATTTATATTATCGTTTGGCTACGTCTCCCCTACCTTTCCGGCGCTCTTTGAGATTACAACTTAAGTCTATGATTGATTAAATAAATCTATAATAGGTTTAAAATTGAGATGCTTATAGTTAATTTCTATAGAAGTAAATCTTAAGTAATCACATTGCCATTGGGTTAACATCGATAAATCGAAGTCTATGGAAAAGTCTAATTATATAGACAATTTAAATTTTATTTTAAAAAATGCTATGTTTATTATTTAATGTTATGAATATGGATATTGTTATCTCTATTGCAATAATAAATCTGTTAAACTGATAAATCTGTAGATAATTCTAATCTATTCTTTTAACACTACTTGAATCGTGGTTAACTTATGGATTTCGCATAGTGAATTTTGTTTATTATAAAAGACCCTTAATTTTATTTATTAGATAATTATATAATTTATAATCTAGTGATAGAATATAATCTTATAAAAGCAGAATTTTTCAATTAAATGTTAACTTTTATAAAAATCTTTATCCTTAAGGTCATATTTTATTTCCTACATTTTAAAGGTTAGGGAAAAATCTGTAGCTATTTTAATGATCTATCATCTCATTGAATACGCGGAAAATCTGTTTGTCCCGGAGCTCGAGTGGCGGAACCCAACGGTCCAACAATTGTTAAAACAATTGTCACGTTTGGCAGTGATATGTAATGACATGTACTCACTGGAAAAGAAGCTAATGGACGCGGGGATAAAGGTCCTAGCGCAGTTTACAACAGTGTAGCTGTATTGACCCAAATGCAAAACATATCGCTGACAGAGTCTATGACTCACTGGTCGAATGAATTTAAGAATTTGGAAACAATTATCGTTGAATTGTCTGATGAAATACTAGCGGCTGATTGGGCCAGTCCTGACATCCGGCGATTTGTTCGCAGCGCAATGTATGCCACTGGCGGTCATTGGAAAGTTTCCACCATGCTCGATCGGTATAATGTATTCATCACTCCGGAAACAATTGCCTAAAAATATATACAATACGCTTTGTATTTAAGGTGACCAACTGCCCTCTATTTAGACGACGATCCTCTATTTGAATATATTTTGAATAGTGTACTTTTCAGAATTACTATGAAAACCAAAATTAAAACTTTTCTTCTCTATTTGTCATAAATTTTTATTTAATGTTTTCCCTTTTGTTCTCGAAGACCTTTTGTAATGTTTTCTTTTTCAAACATGAAAGTTGGTCACCCTATGTGTATTATTAGAATATTCTTGTTTAATTTTATTCAATATTTATATTTGGGATTTCATTTATTAATCTTTTATTTATTGAGTACAAGGCTCACAGAGTGAGTCAATTTATTAAACTCATTTTATTATTCTTAATTAAATTATGTGCATGCATAGATTAATAATTGCAAACACTCATCACATTTCCAATTAGTTTTGTGGCACTGGAGAAGTGGAGCGGGTGTTCATAATCTATATAAGATAATAATTATAAGTTTTGAATTTCAATTATAACATGCCTTCATAAAATATGCACCAGGGCAAAATAGCAAATTCCGGGATAGTTAACTATATCTGCATAGAGTTTCAAAGTAGACAATTGTGAGCAATTCCTGAAGGAAACCAATTAATAATTAGCGATTACTAAACTCACAACATAAATAAAATAATGCTATTTATTAGTTTGTAACAACAATATATTCATTGATAAATTAATCCCAGTTTGCGTGTGATTGAAACACATATCGCCTTCAAACAAGTAATTCAAAAAATTGTGGAATGAATCATGTTCATTTTATGGGCATACACTGTATCAAAGATTATAGCTACTATCAATATTATATCACTTTTAATATACTGTACATGTATACAATAAAACGTTATATCGATAAAAGTCATTATTATTATTTAATACAATTCTTTAGACTTTTATTGTTTCGGCGATAAAAACACAATGAATATGAATCGAGTGCTAAAATATTTAGTGATTTTGCATATTATAATAACTGGTAGTATTGCCAGCTATGATAATGTGGTCACTCTGCCCTCCACAACATCCAATCCCTGTCACGTCGACAATACCTGCAACTGTACTGTCGATGAGATTGAAGTGATTTGTGGCGACGAAATAACCGACACATCTATTAAGCGGACATTCAATGAGATTAAAATGAAGAAATATTTAGACGCATTTGAGTTGTACGACAATCATCTCATCACTGGTCTCCCCGACTATATCTTTTACGACGTAAAACATTAAGATTTACTATTAATTATTTATCATTATATACTTTATAAAATTTTATTTTTATTACATCTAGTTTTAAATTATGATGATATTGTTGTACAATTTAATTTATCATCTAGGTGTCATTCAAAACAATGAACGTGTTCAATGTGAAAACACTGACCATGGTGGGCGAGAATGCGTTCGCCAGTTCAGTCAATACGACCACATCTTTGCGGATCAGCTCGTGTTCACTGAAGTCCAGCGAATCCTTATTTAAAGCCATTTCACAATTGGTTCGCTTGACTTCTGTTAATCTCTCAGACAATCAGGTATTGAACACACATTTCGATCATCTCTTCGATTGAGATCTAAATTTCCAACATTATTTTCAAACATTTTGTTGATTTAATTCTTAAAATTGATTAGTTTTTGATATTTAATTAGTTTTTCTTTATTTTATAACAATATATCAATTGATTACACAATTCAAGGCAGTTATTAGGGGTTATTTCCAACACAACAATCAATAAAACTTATTAAACTGTATTATCTCTACTTTAATTAATAAAACAATAGTTATCTTAATTAATAATTACATCAATTGATAAATTAAATGTATTAAGCTAGAGGAGATACCAGATAATGCGTTTGGACCAAATCAGCATTTATTGACCATGGTTATATTGGACAGAAACCGATTAAAGATCCTTGGTAAAAATGCATTTAAACCACTTTATGAGTTAAATTGGTTGGATTTAAGCAGCAATTTATTGACAAAACTAGCGGACAATTCATTTACACTGCAATCTGTAAACGGCTCGCAATACAATCCCTTAAGAATTAGCCTCAAACTGAACCAAATCGCCCAAATCGGTGACCAGGCCTTTGCCGGACTCGACCGACCCGTCACTCTAGACCTGTCTTTCAACAATTTAACGCAATTAACGGCCAAAACATTTGCCCATTTGTTAAGCTACGAGCCCTCAAAGATTATTGTTAAAGGTAAAGTAATACTAGTTTTAATCCAATATACTGTAAATCAAAAAAATTAAAAAATTATCATATGTATTGATTGTACTTTTATTATTAATTAAATAAATTACTGCTTCATTGTTTGTGTAGGAAATCACGTGAACTGTATCTGTGGTCTGAAATGGGTTTACGTGAACAGCACTATGAAGCCTAAGATGTCGGGTCCCCTCCGATGCGATGATAAGCGCTACTTCTCCAGCCTTACGGACACTGATTTCAAAAATTGTACCTAAATTAAAAATGATGGTACTTTTAATTTATAAATCAATGCCCAAATCTATACACAAAATAAATACCTCATTTTGTGTTTTACATTAACAGCTATTTTCACTGATATAAAGTATAGTTATTTAAAATCGAATTATTATAATAAAATAATTAAAATCAAATCAAAATTTTATTTTATATGTTTTATTATCGATTATCATATCTGGTTAATACTGATAACAATGTGCTCATGGTAACCACAATTAGTGTCTAGACTAAACTACATAATATGCAAGCAAAAATAATTGAGATTGATAACTTTTGCAAAACTAACATTGATATAAAAACTATAAACTAATTAATTACTAATAAGCTAAAAGCACAGCCCCTGTGACTGAGGCTCAGAGGTTTTGTAGGGCCACTACTGAGTCGCGCGCCAACACGAGGACAGACAGGCCTGGAGTGTGTCAAAGGAGTTGAGTTTCCGATCGGAACAGTAGTCGATATACCGATAGCAGCGTTCGTCGGCCTCATTGTAGGACCACTTCTTGAGCGGTCGGCGATCGGCGCAGAAGTGGTCGACAGTAATGGGATTATAGC